GCCGGAGCATTGGAGGAGATCTGCTGGCTGGCAGGCCGGTTGCTGGACAGATTGTAGAGTTGGGAAAGGCTGGAGGCAAAATGGCTGTGCAGAGCACGGGCCTTGGGTGGCTTGCTGAAATGGTGCTGGAAAACAAAGGGCTGGATGGGCAGAGTCGTGGGACGCTGGTCCTTGCTGTAGCGTACCACAGGTTTGCTGTCTGTGCCACCACCTTCGGGGAGAGAAAGGGAGACAGAGTGTGAGGATGGGCAGAGGCACAGTCATCATCAGCCCAGCAGATCACAGGCAAAAGGGAATGTGCTCTCAGCTGCGGAAGGAAGAGGATGAGCCAGAGGCCAGTGACACACACAGAGTGGTATAAGTCTGAACCAGTTAAACACATCATGAGCTGGCAAAGGTGGCATGTGGCCCCAAATGCAGAGTTTCCAGCTGTTGACAGCTGTCTGGATGCGTAGGGCACTGCACTGGGGGCTTCTCTCCTGGTAGGGTCACCAGCTTCCCATCTCTTCCCCATCCCTTGCACCCAGGACAGCACAAGTCATGGCCCAAGCACTTTCCCCCAACCTGCCTCCACTCAGGCAGTACCACAAAGACATGGCCCAATGCACTGTGGTACAGCAAGATTTCTTATCCCGAAGGACTGTCCCTTCCCACATGTGCTGAGAACTCACCCTGTCGAGCACAAGCGGTACAGGCAATAGCACTGCAGCTCTGCACCTCACATCACACTCAGTGCTGTCGGAAAGGCTGCTTGCTTCCCCTTCTCCCTCCCTCCTCTTTCTCCTGTAAGTGTTCCCCCTCTGAGCACATAGCTTCCTTCCTCCTCCTGCCCGTACCAGATCCAAGCAGGACATTCCCAACCCAATCAGCACAACAGCAGAATTAGGAGGGCTTCCAAACCTGGAAAAGGCAGGCCTGCTCTACTAAATGGCTGGCAGGGATGTCCTAAGGGAGTGTGCTGGGCTGATCTCCTATGTGTGCCTGCAGCTCCTGGTGGGGCCACAATATCCCGAGGGACACAGCTGAAGCGTGACACGCCGTGCACACAGTGCACAACGCACACAGCACTGGTGCACACACGGGGCTGACTGGGGTGCCTGATCACCAGCCACGCCACATCCCAGCGCAGCGTGGCACCTTCTGTCTTGTCTCCCCCTGACTCCTGCAGCCCACAGCAAATCCTGGGACAAAGGACCCGTCCCAAGCACAGCCCTAGTGTTACCTCCTGCCTGCGGGGTGTTCCAGGCATCTCTCCCTAGAGCTAGCCTTTAGCGGGGCTTGCTTTTCCTCTACTCCCTTCTCAGACCCTCTAGGCTTGCATGCTGCTCTCAGCTGGTGGGAGGCAGCTCTGCCTCTATCTCCAGCCACAGGCATGAGCCCTCCGCACAGCGCTAATGCCTGCCTTGCTGTCACAGTGCCGAGGAAAGGACCACAGCAGGGGGTGCAGGAACTGCTGGGATATATTGTCCTGAGAGCTCCTGTCTGCCCCCCTCCTCCCCAAGCAGCTCTTGCTCCTTCCAAGCACGGCCTCTGCAATCCAAGAGGGCTACTCCCACGCTGCCTGCTCCCAGCAGAGACCTGCCTTCCCTGCCATCCCGCACTGAGTGCACTTTCGAGGCTCAATAAACAAACAGGACAATGCAGAAAGAACTCTTGCTCCAAAGCACAAAACCTCTCCCACCCCTGCCACAGCAATGAGTGACATGTTCTTCCTATCTCCTGCCAGACATCTTCAAGGGCATCACATGCAGACAGTCTGGTCCTTGGCATGTTAGGGGCTATCTACCTGCCTGGTCAGAGGCCCATTTTAGACATGCTCTTACCTGTGCAGCAGGTACAAGAACTGTCTAAGGCAGAGGTAGAGGTCTCCTGCCATGCCACAGAAATGGCCATACCTCTGATGGGACTGTCACACAGCTTCCTCACCAGGACATGTAAAGACAATATCAAGGTGGAAAGCAACTCGTGTATTACAGGCTTTCCTGCAGAGGGAGCTGGGACAACTATCTTCCAGAGGAACCTTTGCTGCATTCCAATGCACTGTGGAGGATATGGCCAGGATATTCCAGCACAGACACACAGCTCCTCTAATCTCTGCAGAACTTGTGCTGTAAGTCCCGGCAGACGCTGTGTGAGCTCCCTGACCCTGCACTGAGAGCAGACTGCTGGCTATGCCTCCTCCCTCTCCACCTCTGTAACTCCCATGTAGCCCCAAAGAAGAAAGGCTAAAAACTCCTCAATGGTTCCCTTCCCTTTGTCTACTGGGAATATGACTCTGCTGAGCACCCTCAAATCTCTGTCTTAGGAGATAAAGGCAAGTGATTCTCATGGACTGGGGGATTACAACGCTCTGGAAGGGATACAGTCCTCCAAGCTGCACAAACCCCAAGTGCTAATGCCATGTCCTCCCTTACATGATACAAGAGGTTTGCGCAAAACCTCAAGAGGCTTTAGAAATACAAGGACAAGACACTTGCACTGATCTGGGTCTGAAATAAGCCCAGCAGGGCTTTGTCCCAGGGAGCGGTAGACCAGGAAACAAACTGCACAGGCACTGGTCTCCCATCGCCATGCCGGTTCCTCTGCTGCTCCCCTCATGTCCTGAAGAGCAGCCTTTCCTTTTACTTCTCCATTCTGCCTAGTTTGGCTCCTTACCATCTGCTCGGGCTCTAGCATCTCTTTGTCCGTGGCCACTGGCAGAGCCACCTGAGAAGCTGGCATCTGCCTCCATCAGCAGGGAGAGAGAGGCTCGCTCACCTGCCCCGTGCCCACTGGGGACCTTCTCACTGGAGACGCAGTCTTTGGTGGAACATAAAGCCTGGCTGTCCCCAAAAGTGTGATTTAAACAGAAGCCCTCACAGCTCCGGTTCAGGCCATGGACAAATGGCATGGGTGGAAGACTCTGGCTGCGGCGAGCTCTTTCTTCAAGGAAGGTTGGGCAATCCCGCTGTGTCTCCGGGATAGGGGAGAACTCCAAGGAGGAATCACCACTGGACCGGAGTGGTGGGGAGGTGCCGTTCTTTTTCCTGCCTTTCGCCAGTTCAGCAAAAGATGTCACTCGCTTCGGGGGGGAACTCTGAATGGGTATTGCCGGACTTTCACTCAGTTTGACCGGACAGCTCACCATGCGCTCCAAGGAGCCCAGCCTGCTGCTGGGACTCCTGTCCAGGTTCTGATCATAGCTCCTGGAGCGCTGCCGGCTTGTGTTGAGGTTAGGTGGTGACACATTCACATAGACCTGACCCTCAATCATGTTCTGGGTGGCTTCTCCCTTTGCCTCCTCTTCACTGCTCTCCACATTGCTTTCTTCTTGTCTCAGGTCAGGCCTTCTGAACAGATAGTATTCAGTGGGCTGGGCTGGGCTACCTTTGGTATGGTCTTCCGAGCAGCTAGTTATGGAAGAACCTGCTGGACTGGGGGATGACTGGGAAGACAAGTCACACGTGACTAACTTATAATAATTCTGAGTAGCCACAACGAGCCGCGCTTGGCTCTGGAAGCAGGCAGTGAGGTCTGAGCTCTCCGAAGTGCAAGGCTCACAGTGGAGGTGGTAGGAGTTGCAGTTGGCATCGAGGACAGGTGAGGAGGAGTGTTGACACTCACACACTTTCCCTGAACTCTCTGGGTGATGCGACTCACAAGACATCTTAGATTCTGTGGGTGATGAATGCAAATCCAGGTAAAAAGCTCCTGTGTCTGAGTGGCTGCAGAAGGAAGAGTCACAGGACAGGTTGGCTGAATTCAGGTTAGATCGAGAATGGTCATTCATTTTGTTGTAGAGAGCACTGAAGTTCACCAGCACACCATCGGAGCTGTTGCAGGAAGAGTCACTGATGTAGCCCATCTGTTGGTCAGTCACTTCAGACTGACTTGAGGAACTGTAGCAGCGACAGTGCTGGAGCTCTGAGCTGGAACAGTTGCACGTCCGGCTGTGCAGGGCATCCTGATTCCTCAGCGATTCAACCGTGTTCTGGTTCCACTCCTGGTCACCACCATCGAAGGAGAAGCTGGAGGAGCTGCCACGATGGCAGCTGCATTCATCCAGCTCCATGTGCTCTGAGGCCTGGTGGCACCGGTTCGCGTTGTTCCTCTTCTGGATGTCATCACTGCTGATTTTGTCCTCTTGTCCATCTACCACACCGGAGCGGCTGGCCATGTTCCAGGATTTCACAATGTGGTTGGAGTCGTGGAGGTGGAACGGGGGCAAGGCCAGCTCATGCAGATGAAAGGGAGGTTTGCCAGACACAAGTGAGTTGTGAAGGTGGAAAGATTTTTGACCCAAGTCATCCCCAAAGACGCTGAGGTCTTCACCCTCACTCAGCAGG